ATACTTAGATGGGTGTGTATTTTGGTATTTTTTATGCTTTCTGATTGCCTCCAGGTAGATGTGATCAGGAGATGGGCTTCTCTTTTCACTCTTCTTCCTGAGAAATTTCAAGATGCTACTGTTGGTCATTGTAACATAACTCAGGATTTAATTTTCGGTCTATTTCCTTTTTAGTCTGCCTGTCCCACTCCACAATCCCTGTTCAGGCCTTTTTCCTAGTGATAAACAGTTCAGGGCTGGCTGTGGCCATTTGGTTTTAAGTGGAAACTGTCATTTTAAATTTCAAGGAAATCTGTGTGCATGCATAGTAGAACCCTTTAGGGGTGGGGGTGGGGTGTCCACTCTCTCAGGAACCCCTCTAGTAACCAGAATGGAGGTGTGCAGACAGTGAGAGCCCATGAACACACACCAAAATAAAGATGTTCATGCCTTTATCTCTGTGGTTCTGTCTGCTTGGTCTCACCCAAGATGGTGGCTCCGGGAGCAGCTGAGCATCTTGAATTAGAAAACAATGGATTTCTTGCTTCTGCTACAAATTCCCCTAGCTGTAAGCCTTCCAACCTTTTAAATATTCCTTTATATGTGGTTCAGAGTTCTGGCACCATCCCCTGAGCTTGCTTGGTCCAGTATTCTGTGTTATTTCTGACGGAGCTCTTCACTTCACTTCCACCAGATCCTCCAACTTGTTTGTTCTCCTTTGTCATGCCTTTTTAATGACACTGGAGTCCTGGTGTGGTGCTGTGGGCTAATGTGCTGGACTGTAAAGTTGGTTTGAACCGCAAGGTCAGCAGTTCAAGCTCACCAGACTCTCCTTGGAAACACTTTATGGGTTGGAACTGACTTGATGATACTTAACAACAACAACCCTCATTATAAAATCCACCGTCTTTAGCCTGTTTTTCATGGCATGATAGGTTCTTCAAGATCTAGCCTTGCCTACCTTACCAGCCTTATCTTTCATCATCCCCTGGTTTATCTAATGCATCACAACTTCACACATGATGCTCTTGTGTGGCATATACTTCTCTGCTCTTCCACAATAGCAAACATCCACTGTATCATCAAAGATCATCTTGACTTTTGAGTTAGGGCCCTTCCAATAAGTTGCAGGGAATTCATGTTCTACCATGATCCTAGAAATTGTTTCATAGTCATAAGTGAGCAATATCTGAGTTTGAATACTGGGTCCTCCACTTACAGTCTGTGTGGTCTTGGTAAAATCCCTGAGTATATCTGAACCTCAGTTCTTTGAGATAATGAGAGTGATAGCACCTATATTACAGGATTGTTGTGAGAATTCAATAGTTTTTTTTCACCTTCCTTCCTGCTTCCCACCTTCTCTTTCTTCCTTCCCTTTCCTTCTTCCTTCTTTCCCTCCCTTTCTACCTCTGTACGTTAAAGGTGTTGTTCAATTTCTTCTGGCTTCTATAGTTTTTGTTGAAAAGTATACTGTATGTCCTGTGGAGATCCATTCCTTTTCTACCAAAAAGATAGAAAGTTTAAAGTAATAATTGTTGTTGTTAAGTGCCATCTAGTCAGTTCCAACCCATAGTAACCTTATATAGGATATCTGAGGAGCAGCTGATAGCTTTGAACTTCCAACCTTGTGGTTCAAAGTCCAGTGATGATCCTACAGAACCTTATTATAAATAAATTAAAGGAATTATATGAAAATATAGGGAAATGCTTAGAACAATGGAAAATTCAACAGAGCATTGAAATCAACAAAGTGTATTACACAAATACAATGTTTGAAATTAATATTTATTCAATGGTTTTTAAAAACATATTGGGAACAAAGAAGACAGATTAGAAGAACTCAAAGATAGATCAATAAAAAATATTCAAACTAAATCTCAGAAAAAAATACTTTTTTTTTTTTTTTTTTTAAGTCAAAGAACTTTTAATGTTGAACTCCATATTTTTTTTTTTTTTTTTTTTAAATGAACAGAAAAGAACACAAGACTAATGGGACAAATTATTTAATATATGTATACTTGGATGTACAAATGGAAAAAAGAGAAACAAGAGCAAAAATTAAGATGACTAACAGTTGTCCTAAATGAAGGAAAGATACTAAATTCACAGAATAGAGCTGTTAATAAACCCCAAGTAGAATAAATACAAAAATATAGCTGTTGAAAAACTAGAGCTACAGTCTTAAAAGCAGCCAGGGGAAAAGATACATTACTTCCATTTTGGAAAGAGCTATAAAGAAGGGAAAGACATACCCATCCTCTTTATGTAACTCAGAGCAAATGCTAGGCTCTCAAATCTACAATTCTTTCCTTGATTTCTTTGAATTCTTTTTTTTTTTTTTCTTTCTTTCTTTAACTGTTTTATTGTGAATTATGTGATAGTTTATATGGGAGAACATTAGCTTTACATTCATCTTATCGTATATTGTTACATTGCTATGGTTACAATCCCCTCCATGCATCATCAACCAACCAAGCCTGCTCCTTGGTCATCAGCACACAGTTCCTCTCCCTCTCTTGGTCTAGAGTTCTCAGGTGCTCCATCTCTCCATGTAATCGACTCTGCCTCCATCTCTGGTATCACTATTTCTCTGGGTAGGGTCCCACACTCTGCTCTTCTCCCTTGATTCTTTGAATTCTTTTTTAAGTTACATAAAATAAAAAGTACAAGGCACAGTTTTAGATAATTCTTATGTACTCTTAACATTTTGGAATCTGAAATTTATTATTTGGAATTTCATGCTATGCTGTTGTTATTAAGTGCTGTTGAGTTGACTCTGACTCATAGTGACCCTGTATAGCGTTTACAAGAAGCAGCTTGTGGATTTGAACCTCTGGCTTTGTGTTTAGCAGTCTGGTGTTTTCCTACAGCATCTCATCAGGACTCCTTACACAATACACTAGGATTTGAATAGTACAATATTAACAGGTTGTTTCATATAAAATAGAAGTTCTTTAAAAATATTTGGTTCCCAGCTTTATGGATGCTCTAATATACACTACTCTACTATTTATACTTGGCATTTCTAGCATATAAACAGCAGTTTTTTAGAATCTGAAGATTTTACTTTTATATATGATGCCTCTGTTCTTTCTCTACAGAAAAGAAAGGATGCAGGACTTCCTCTGGAGGAACCGCAGCTCTCTTACTGAGTTTATTCTTTTAGGATTCTCTAGCAACAAACAGATAAATATTATTCTCTTCAGTATCTTCCTCTTACTCTACCTCGTCACCCTTCTAGGCAATGGGCTCATTATCACCCTGATACGTATGGACGCTCGCCTCCACACACCCATGTACTTTTTCCTCAATGTCCTTTCTATTCTGGATATGGGATATGTTACCACCACAGTGCCCCAGATGTTGGTGCATCTGGTTTGCCAGAATAAGACCATCTCCTATACTGGATGTGTAGCCCAGATGTACATATTCCTGATGCTGGGTATCACTGAGTCTTGGCTTTTTGCAATCATGGCTTATGACAGGTATGTGGCCATTTGCCATCCTCTCAGGTATAAGGTCATTATGAGCCCTTTGTTGTGTGGGTCAATGGTGGCATTCTGTGGATTCTGGGGTATCAGCTGTGCCTTGATATACACAGTCTCTGCTATGATTCTTCCTTATTGTGGTCCCAATGAGATAAACCACTTCTTCTGTGAAGTACCTGCTGTTTTGAAGTTGGCTTGTGCAGACACATCTCTCAACGACCAAGTGGATTTCATTCTGGGCTTCATCCTTCTCTTGGTTCCACTCTCCCTTATCATCCTTGTCTACATTAATATCTTTGCTGCCATCTTGCGGATTCGCTCAACTCAAGGGCGGCTCAAGGCCTTCTCCACCTGTGCCTCTCACATCACTGTGGTCACTATGTTCTCTATACCATGCATGGTTATGTACATGAGACCTGGTTCGGAGGCCTCCCCAGAAGAGGACAAGAAGCTGGCTCTATTTTATAATGTGATTTCTGCCTTTCTTAACCCCATCATTTATAGCCTCAGGAACAAAGATGTAAAGAGGGCTTTTCTCAAAGTCACAGGATGGGGAAAAGTGCCAGAATAAAGTCATAGGAGCACGGGCAACAGCAACCAAACCTGGGACACAGTCTTCATGATCTCTTCATCCAAATTCCTTCCAAAACCTAATGGATGCTCACAAAAGATTAATGGATATATTAATTAGGATTATGTATGAAAAAATGTTTAAGACTATGGCCTTAAATGCCCTTTAAGAATGAAGTCACCAAACTATGGACTCCATGAAGGCAGAGCCCACATCTGATTTGTGTCTGTATCAGCAGTTTACAAAACCTGACAATATCAATATTTATCTGTTTAATTAATAAATGAGGCTATAACTAAGTTTTCATGAGCTTTGGATTTATGAAATAAATTCAGATTGGTGGGCACAAGATGGTATCCAGATTTCCTATTAGTGACCTGACTATAGTATAATTAGGGCTCTGAAACAAGAACAGTTTAAGATAATTCAATGATGATCATAGAAAATAGAGAGCAGGTATAATGTATTTCTCTAAGCCTCCCACTTTTTCAACAGATTATACATTTAATCTCACTCATGGATGTTAGAGGCTCTCCTACTGCCAAGCTCATGTGAAGGCCTTAACAAATCATACAGAAACCAGACCTTTCAGGGTAGGCACTCTGCCCTTTTGTCCATACACATCATTGGTGATATGATTATAGTGTAAACCCACAAAGAACTCTCTGAAACTAGAAGGGGTTAACTGCTTCTTTGCTGCTCTTGAGGGTGGAGGAATTCCTGTTACTGAGTTTGGCAACCACAGGGCCTACTTTCCAGATTCTGTAAAGCATATAATATCATCATTCTTTGAGATCTTGCCACCTCTTTGAGGCACTAAAAGGGAGTCTGATGTAGTCCTTGCTACTTAAGATAATCTGCCAACATTCCCATGTCTTCTGTAGTCACGGAGAAACTCAATTTATAGGGCAGACCATTTCTGCCATCTCTACTCAGAAGCACTCACCTCTTAACCCTCTGGGAAAAGCCAACAGAATTTCTCTTACTGAGCCTAGGTTTTCTAAACAAAAAGCTCTGGATTCAGATGATCTTCTAGCTGTCTGGAAATGTCTCTTTTTGACCTTGAAAAAATATGATCCCAAATGACAGCAATGAAAGATTCTGGTTTTGTTTTGATTTGGGGATGGAAACAAGACCAAGAACTAATATAAATAAAATTAATACCTCAATAAATTTTTATTACAATTCTTAAAAAAAAAAAAGAAGTGCAGGGAAGTAATACATATCAGTTTTCATCGGTATTTTTAGGGGAATATGAATCTGTGCCCTTATGTCATTAAAGAGAGCAACTCTATTTTACAAAATGAGATTTCTAAGGAGGACTAGAATAACCCAATACTTGCAATGCATTTTCAATTTTATTGGCGTACATGGGCACAATGAACTATAGATAATTAAAGTGTAAACTTTGATGAGTATATACATGTGAAATCATCATAATAGCATATACCCATTGTCCCCTAAATTTTCTTGTGACAGTTTGTAATCTCTCTGTAATAGTTATTACTATGTTAAAAATTATCCTAAAGTTTAGTGGCTTAAAACAACAAATAATTGCCACCCCTCCCCCTTTTTATGGTTTCTGTGGGTCAAGAATCTGGGCAGAACTTAGCTGTGTCCTTTGACATAGGCTGCAATCAAAGTATCAGTTATGACTTCAGCTATCTGAAGGCTCACATGGATGAGGAACTGTTTCTAAGTTCACTTGATTGTTACTAGGATTTAGTTTGAACTTGCATTGTCAGAGGTTCGAGCTTACCAGTTGCTCCTCGAAAACCCTACACAGGATTGCTACGGGTTGGAGCCAACTCTGGCACTTAACAACAACAACAACAACAACAAGAACAACAACAAACTGTTGAACTAAAAGCCTTATTTCCTTTCTGATTATAATCCAGAGCATCCCTCAGTTTCTTGCTTGTGTACCTATCCATAAAGCAGTTTACTTCATCACAGTTGGCTACATCAGAATGAGAAAGCAAATACTGATGTGCCGAAGGAAAGTGGCTGAATGAAATCAACAGGTGGAGCATCTTGTCCACCGGATCATTGAGAGACATCTCACAGCGGGCCTTCATTTGCAACATTTACATAGGATGTGATTATCTTCATTACATTCTATTTCATTAGTAGTAATTCACATGCCCTTTCTAGATTCTCCATTACTAATGTCTCAATTTTTTGCTTTCTAAGTCCCTGACCAGCCTTCTAACCCATGAGTGACTGCCCTTGAAATAGTGTGTATCTACACATCAGGCCATCTCATTGCAAATGTTTTTTTTAAACAACATAAAAGATAACTATACAAATGGACCTCACAAGATGAAATACACAGAAGTCAAATTGACTACATCTGTGGAGAGAGATGGTGGAAAAACTCCATATCATCAGCCAAAACAAAGACAATGGCAGACTGTAGCACAGACCATCAATTGCTCATTTGCAAGTTCAGGCTGAAGCTGAAGAAAATGAAAACAAATCCACAAGAGCCAAAATATGACCTTGAACATATCCTACTTGAGTTCAGAGATCATCTGAAGAACAGATATGATGCATTAGACAATGAAGACTGAAGACCAGAAGAGTTGTGGGATGACATCAAGAACATCATACAGGAAGAAAGCAAAGGTCATTAAGAAGACAAGAAAAAAGGAAAAGACCAAATTGGATGTCAGAAGAGACTCTGAAACTTGCTTTCCAGTGTAGAGATGTTAAAACAAATGAAATAAATGAGGAGGTAAAAGAGCGGAATGAAAAATTACAAAAGACAGCTCGAAAAGGCAAAGTCAAATATAACAATGAAATTTGCAAAAACAATATAATGAAATATGAAAACCAAAAAGGAAAAACATGCTTAGCATTTCTTGAGCAGAGGGAACTGAAGAAAACAGTCAAGCATTAACTTGAAATATTGAAGGGTTCTATGGATAAAATATTGAATGATGTAGAAAGAATCAAATGAAAATGGAAGGCATACACAGTCACTGTACCAAAAAAGAAATGGCTGATGTTCAACCATTGCAAGAGGTAGCATATTATCAAGAGCCAATGATCTTGAAGGAAGAAGTCCAAGGTGCACTGAAGGCACTGGCAAAGAACAAAGCACTGGGAATTGATGGGCTACAACTTAAAATATTTCAACAAACTGATACAGGACTGGAGGCACTCCCTCACCTATTGCCAAGAAACTTGGAAGACAACTACCTGACCAATTGAGTGGAAGAGATCTTTGTGCCCATTCCAAAGAGAGGTGACCCACCAGAATGTGGAAATCACCAGACAATATCCTTAATATTGCATGCAAGTAAAATTTTGCTAGAGATTATACAAAAATGGCTGCAAGCATACATTGACAGAGAACTTCCATGGGTTCAAGCCAGATTCAGAAGAGGACGTGGAATGAGGCATATCATTGCTGACATCATATGGCTCTTGGCTGAAAGCAGAGAACACTAGGAAGATGTTTACCTGTGCTTTATTGACTATGCAAAAGCTTTCAAGTATGTGGATCATGACAAGCTATGGACAGCATTGTGGAGAATGAGTATTCTGGAGCACTTAATTGGCTCATGAGGAACTTGTACATAGATGAAGAGGCAGATGTGTGAACAGAACAAGGGAACACTGAATAGTTTAAAATTAGGAAAGGTGGGTGTCAGTGCTGTTGTCTTTCACCATACTTAGTCTGTATGCTGAGCAAATATTCTGAGAAACTGGATTATATGAAGAAAAACATGGCATCAGGATTGGAAGAAGACTCATTAACAACCTGTGATGTACAGATGATACAACCTTGCTTGCTGAAAGCAAAGAGGACTTAAAAGGACCTAACTTACTGATGAAGATCAAAGACCTTTGGTATGGGTTGCACCTCAATGTAAAGAAAACAAAAATTCTCACCAATGGACCAATAAACAATATCCATATGTTGTTGTTGTTAGGTGTCATCGAGTTGGTACCGACTCATAGTGACCTTATGCACAACAGAACGAAATACTGCCTGATCCTGGGCCAACCTCACTATTGTTGCCACACTTGAGTCCATCGATGCTGCTACTTAGCCAATCCATCTTGTTGGGGGTCTTCCTCTTTTTCTCTGACCCGCCACCTTACCAAACATGATAT